TAAGTCATGTGACCCTGCTGTAATATCCTTTATAGCCTAACTGTGTTGGACATTTTAATTCCCTTAAGAGAAACTGATAAATGATTAATAAACAAGTGTTTCTTTTGTTATATTTAATGAAGCAATAAAGAAAGTCCAAATACAATAGTAGAAACAGAGCAACTTCATCCTCATGAGGATTAAGAGATTCTGCACCCCGCACACAGCTCAGTCCCACTATATGGAATAAAGAAAGCAGCCTGCTAATCCGACCCATAACTTCTCTATGACATTATCTAAACATTCCCAACAGTAAACCATGAAACCCTCCAGTCCTTATCCATTAGCTAATCCACATTTTACACTTGTGGAATGTCCATTCTAAACATAAAGCTCTGACAAAATGGAGACCGCTCCTAATTATTCTTAAATCTCAATCTCTACATCTATGGCAGCCATAACATCTCAGTGTTTGTTGAAATCCAACACAGAGGAACGTTGTCAGTAGTTTATAGAATACAAATAAAACAAATGTTAATTCTGCTCAAACACATACCCATAAATAGTCAAACCAGAGAAACTGATAATGCTGCAGTGGTCTCCAGAGCTATGTCTATTTTTCACACACATGAGATACAAATACAATTGAACAGAGTAAAAGGCAATCAGAGTATAAGACATAATATATATGATTATATATGATTATATGATCATTTGACACAACACTAACGTTAGCTTTTTACTTAAGAAATCATATAGACGTTAATAAATGGAGATTATCTTGCTGAACAAAACATGTGATTATCATAAATGTTTGTTTGCTACAAAGACTATTTTCTGCAATATAACAAAATCCAATGGGAAAATCCCATTTGTCACAGGAGCCCTGTGATGCTGCCTTCAGGGTCGGCCTACAAAAATACGTCATCACTGTACCACTCTATTCTCTCTGTAGAACAGACAATCCCGCCTCTTCTCAACCAACCTCTTCTGTATCTCTTTTCTTAATAAACATCTCGGTTGCAAGTGTCTTTTCTCACATTGTTGACACTGTATGGGAACCAGAGAGGCTTTTTAGGAGTGAAATGTCTTGTAATGTGTTGCCCTCTCTCACCAAGGCAATTACTAGTTTAATGTCCAAACCAAGCAAACGTTTCCATTCCCCGACAGCAATGTAATGGGATGAGTACAGAAATCCCAAAACCTTTTTTCCTAGAAGTCTCAAAGTAAATGAGGTGAATATGTATGGAATTTGTTGCAAACCAGTGTTCAGCTAAAAAGCTGATGGCATCAAATGATCCTGCTGCTCCTCCATATCAGCCCATTGCTAATTAATTATGCGTTCGCTCTCCCAGTTATAATTGATGTCCCCAGGCCGGTCTTTGGACCGCCTCGGTGGCCCATTTATCTTCAGAGCCACAACCACAGAGCAGGTGGGATTCAGCGGAGAGGACGAGCGCAAGAACTCTAAAGCCCGACACTGTCACTGCCACAAACTCAGCACAGACATCCAGCATGTGCACACAATTTAAATGAGACTCTGTGGGAATGAAAACTCCCAGAAAGTGAGTTAAAATTGACATTGTTAATTAAATGTTTTGTCATGTTTGTGATTTCGGTCTAAGGTGGAGGAGTTTGAAGGCTCGAGGCACAATCAATGTTTGTCAAGTCAAACCTGGCCGTGTGTGTGCGCGCTCACATCCAATGATTAATGAAATTACAGTGTCACTCTCCTTATCATCGCCCTGCACAGTTTATTGCTGGCTGCGAGACAAGCTGTAGGCTACGTATGCACAAGCTGGGCGGGGGGGCTGTGATGATTATTTTATTCTGTATTGAATAAGGAAGAGGCGATGAAGAGAAGAGATCAGGATCAATACCTCCCTCTGCAGTTAACATGTACTTACAAGCATTGGGAAGATAAATGACCAACTGCATGCTTCGCTCTGGAGGAGAAATAAAGAAACTAGAAGAAAGTAAGAAGCGATATTAAGCTTCCAGTGTGCAGTCAAATATGTTTAGAGGCTTGAAATGCCATTAAACTTAAACATAATAATTCTATAGTTTGGAAAATGTGCTGATTAGCTTTACTGCCTACATTCAGAAGAGTCCTTCCACAAATATTGAGATATATGATTAAGATGAAGCGATCTTACTTTAGAATAAATACTTGAAAAAAGGGAGTAACAGCTAGCTTGGCTCAGTTTTAAAGGTTAAAAAGACCAGTTGGTTGTTTAATACATAGGCTACAAGGTTGTGAGGTTTTTAAGCAACATAGATGTCAGTTGATTCCTTTTTAAAGAGGACATATTATTATGATTTATGATACTTACACATTTTGTTCAGCAGGATAATCACACCACATAAACACAATTTTATGATTTTTTTTTTTAGGTAAAAAGTTAACGTTAGCCTATAAAGGAACTACAACACGGTCACATGACTTCACGTTACCATCGCTTAGCTAATGGTAGCTAATGTTGGACCTGATAACCTGACGTTAACGTATTTACTGACGTTAAAACCTCTTCAGCTTGTGACTAGTATTTCAGACTAGCAACCAAAAACACATTCAGACACCCGTTGACTTCCACCCCAGGGGACAGGAAGTGGTAAAACGTGGATTCTTTTCAAAGTCAACTTTAATGTCAATTTTTTTTTTTGTGTGTTTGTACAGACAGAGAGATCGCAATAACGTTTCCAACAATCCCGAATACAAAATACAATATGTATACAAATATGTATAAATATGCATATATCAATCAACAGACACATTTACGCATATGCACACATTAAGATAAAACAACAATCAATATATTCAAAATAACAGTCACTTCAATATCTTAGACTCATTCCCTTGATTGAGAATAATATTTGTCACAGTAATAGAGTGGCGAATCATTGTAGGAAAGCCTTTCCCCGCCACAGTGTTAAACATTTTACATTCACAGATTTACAGATAGCCTAGTTTCCTTTCAAATATATTGCTGAGCCAACATGCAAATGGAACTGGAGACTAATAAAAGGCGGCATAAAAATGCATCTTTCCAGCAGAACTCGTGTCCCCAGTGCCAGCGTAATGCCGTGTGATTAGTAAGGCGCTTACGATGTGATTTCTCACCACATCCCTTCCTCCTTAATGCCTCTCCTCGATCCATCTCTGCTCCCCTTTTTATTTGCAGTCCTCCGGCTCCTTTATCATTCCCTGTGATATCTCCTGCTCTGCTGCATGTTAAAAGCAGGGCTATAATATGTTTCCACAAATACATTTTCCTAATCTGCTCATTGTGCTGGAGTGTCACTCCGGTACTCCTCTCTAACGCGCTGTTCTTCCCTTTTTCACACCTCTAATGCTGTCAGCACCTGCTGAACCCTGCAGCCGCACAGGGATCACCTGCTGAACCCTGCAGCCGCACAGGGATCACCTGCTGAACCCTGCAGCCGCACAGGGATCACTTGCTGAACCCTGCAGCCGCGCAGGGATCACCTGCTGAACCCTGCAGCCGCGCAGGGATCACATGCTGAACCCTGCAGCCGAGCAGGGATCACCTGCTGAACCCTGCAGCCGCACAGGGATCACATGCTGAACCCTGCAGCCGCACAGGGATCACATGCTGAACCCTGCAGCCGAGCAGGGATCACCTGCTGAACCCTGCAGCCGCGCAGGGATCACATGCTGAACCCTGCAGCCGCACAGGGATCACATGCTGAACCCTGCAGCCGCACAGGGATCACTTGTTGAACCCTGCAGCCGCACAGGGATCACATGCTGAACCCTGCAGCCGCGCAGGGATCACATGCTGTATAGCCTTTTTTACTCAACGACATTTTTAAATGTATCTCTAAATATATATATTTTTAAAAGCATTAACTAATAACACCCTATTTTCGTTTTTATCATCAATTTGACATTCATATCAGACAGTGGACATCTAATTTTGAGGTGAAACTCTTGCTTAGGTGTACATTGACAAACTGGCAGATAATAAGTGTGAAACGTACATTAACACTACTGTGCGTCGTTCCTCTGGAGATCAGTTCCTATTTGCACTTTAATGAGGAAATCGTGTTTGTAAAAAAAGTGTGGAAAATAGATGGCTTCAGGAAAATGAAAGTCGACATTTAGATAAATGTTGCTTCATAAGAGTATAATGATAACCAAAAAAACACCTTTTGAATTGTATTCCTTGCTTTATCATTATTGTATTTGTATTGTATTCAGTCCTGTGTTTATGACTTCTGTTGGTATGGGAGTCTTTTGTGTAGCACCTTTTGTATATGAAAAAGTTTGATTTGATTAGTTATATCCGCCGTCTCTGTTGTGACTGGCTGACAGTTTAGCTATGTCCCGCCCCTTAGCCTGTCACATACAATGTTTTGAAGCGCCAGACAATAGGAGCGTGAGTGTTTACAGAAGTAAACAAAGGAGTCCAATGGGGGTGTTTCAGAGAGAAACAGGGATTTTAGCCTCTGCAGACCATTTACATGCACCAAAATCTATAAAACACACTACATGGAAGCAATTTTAGTTTCCACTTTTTACCCTTCTTTACTCTTTGATATGACCACCACACTAAACCATAAAGTTTGTGGGTCATTTCTGATAGGTCACTATGTTGCATGGTTGTATGTTTCTGACCTCTGTGTTGTCACAGTACCAAACAACACTTGGGGCATCGCTTCTCTCCTAGTCATATAGCCTACTGTACATTGACTTTCAGTGTTTTTACTGTCACAGGGCCTGCAGGGGGTCTTCTGCCCGCCGCATGGGGTCAGAGCAGGACCCCCACGGGCTGAAGTGTGGCGGCTTCAGAGAGCATGCTGCAAATTAGGGTGAAGCTTTTCGCCCACAGTAGATGTCGGAAAAATCATGAGGACGAGGCGTAATTACTGAAGGACGCAGAGCAGTGTTGTGTTCATGTAGATACGATTGTTGGAAATCGTGTGGGTGGATTTTAATAACAAAAATAATGTCAAGTGAAAAGAAATTAATTGAGATTTTTTTTGTTTTTGTGTTGTAGAGACAAGGATCTGGAGCAGCTGCTGGCAACAACAAGACGTCTGGAGAACAAGGTAAATACAAATCAGGGTCAACAATCGACGGCGTTACAGCAGCAAAGGTTATGATAAAAAGGAGAACTAGAAAAACTAGACTGAAGACAACTTAGTAAAACGGGAACAAGTACACCGTGTTCATAAATAAGTAGGAGTACTTAAGAAAGAGTGTGAACATAAGAGTAGGAGCCGGTTATGTTAACAAATGTATATAATTATAACAAATTACAGGTTTCTTTGCACATGAGCAGTGGAGTTTACAGGAAGTGGTTTTGCACAACAAGCATGGTCTGTATAGTCTGACTGCTGCACGAAGTATAACACTTGATAGAATATCATTATCATGATATCAAGTTTTTGTGTGATTAACAAATTGTTTAAAACTGCAACTTCAGCGGGTATACTGTAACTGCTATTATCACGGGTGTCATTCATGCAGAACAAAATGTAATAAATGAGAACACTTGGAGAAGAATGTATTTGCACAAGAGAACATTCTGTCCATTCAGGTGTATTTCTGGGGGCCCAAGTGGTGTAATTTGTGAAACATATTATTCAAGTATCGGGGTCTTCTTCTCGAGTGATGGGACAATGAAGCTTAAGATGGCCTGCCAAATCGGAGCAGTGGAAGCTTTACTGCAAAGAGCTGAGCAAAAAGGCAAAGCTCTCAATCTACCAGTCCATCTTCATTAGTAGCCAGTCAGTCACAAATTAAGAAAACGTGTCCCTTTTTTATCTGCAAGGAGCTCAAATACGACAAAGAGTCAGGCAGACAATTACACAATGTCATTGGAGATCGATGATCGGCGTCAATATGATGACTTAAAAAGCAATAAGGGATCGATTTCCTTCAATCTAACTGTGGACAAGTGGCTAACACTTAAACTGGGATTGATTTGGCTTTTCAGAGTTTTATTCTTTAATGCAGCATCCAGTAGTTTCAGGGTTCAAGACTAATGTTAACAACCTCTAAATAATACTGTAAACTTGGAACATATTAAAACAAACAGCAGGAAAACATACAGTATGATGAGAGGAAAGACGGACAGAGGATGATTGACGAGATGAGAGGCAGCCACAGTTTACAGTACATGTGGGCACAAGATGAGCTTTAAAAGGCACATGATTGACAGTAACATGGTCTGAAGGACAGCTGCCACCAGAGTTCACACACACACACACACACACACACACACACACACACACACACACTGAACCTCAGGCCTTCCCATCAGCGCTCATCATGATGTAAGTGATGACATGGAGAATATTTCATAACATTTGAACTAGTTCATTTGTCGTTTCGTCCGTTTTTCTTCATCTCTGTCTTATGTAAAGCACTCAGGACTGTATGAATATAAAACGGTGTGTTTATTCTGAGCATTCACAGGATGGGTCATCAGTAATGACTCACTGTGCTAAATAAAAACATGGATCAATGCAATGTAGGAACTCTTCACATGGCTTACAGAAAATCAAGATGGATGGATAATTGGATAGATTATTTGTTCCTTTTTCTTTTACTGTATTTAAAGAAGCCAACAAAATGTCCTTACCTCAGTATGATGACAATAGAGATATTTGGATTTAAAAACGGGACATATATTAGATATTTTATTAATCATTTTGTGTTTTAAAAAGATTATATATCGCACCACTTCACAGATTCCTCTTGAATCTCTTGACGAGCTGTTAAGTGCTGACTCAGCAGGTGAGTCTGAGAGGACCAGCAGCTCCGTCCTGGGGGAAATAAAGATCTACACCGGGCGCATTACAAATCATGTTTATTGTTGAGCTATCTGTCATTAAATCTATCATAGCGAAGCAAATAAAGGCATCAACGTGAAAGCTAATATCTCCCCGCGCTCACCTCCTCTAAATCAAATGGGTGATTTGCTGCGTTCTCCTGACTCAGCAACACTTCACACTTTGAGATGGAAGCATGAGCTGTTTTCACTTTATTATAAAGTGAGCCCTTTGCTTAATGCAATAAATAAAACCACAGTTTATTGATGGAAAGAGGAAATCTAGTAAGTGCAAGCCTTAAATTGAGCTTCCTATAAATCTACAGCATTTGATTGTCTCAAAGTTTTCAATATGCATTGGCTTGGATTTTTCTTCAATGATCATAAAGCTAATGATTGATCTACAGATTGCACAAATATAATAGAAAAGAATAACATAATATTCCTTTACTGTCATCTAGCCTGGTAAATTGAAATGTCACAGTTAATTTCAACATATCAAACAATAAATAAATATGAACATATATAAAAACATATATACTTATTTATAAATACATGCATTGACACACAAACATATACATTTATAGATACACATACAATAAATACAATTATAAAAAAAGACAGGAAGCGATTTTTTGCATTTTTGATCAGTTAATAAATGACGTTATTTCTGTAACTCTCGATGCAATGACTCGACCTGTTTGCTGTTTTTGTGTTCAAGTTTGTCTGATTGTTCAAGTATCATAAAGCTAATACTGCATGCATCTAACCGGTCCGATACAAAGTTACAAGCAGTGAGCAACCTTGAACAACGAGCTTTACTGACATGACTTATTGATTCCTCTGTTAGCCTCTTCGTCCTCCAGGGACCCGTGTTAGCTCTGCACCTTCAGAAGAAAATGAAGGTTGACCTTCCTGTGGTTATGCCGGTGTTGCTGCTGTGACAGTGGAAATATAAGAGAACAAAAATGAAACAACAAAGGTGATACGAATGTTTTAGCCTTAAATGAAAGCAATCGCAACTAATATGGTTTCTTTTGTTTTTACCGTCAAAGATAACAAAATTACAGAATTGTTTTCATTTACTTTGTTTCGTTAAATCAGAAGAAAAATATGTTTTGGATATGCAGCCGGACTGAGATGTAATTGTCTTGTTCCTGACAGAGTTTCTCTTTATAACCCTTAAAAAAAACTATTGCAACCAGTCAGGCGTTTTATTCTTTAATGCAGCATCCAGTAGTGTTAGGGTTCAGGACTAATGTTAACAACCTCTAAATAATACTGTGAAGTTGGACCATATCTCAAAATGAAACCATCAACCAGTAAACATACAGTATGATGAGAGGAAAGACGGACAGAGGATGATTGACGAGATGAGAGGCAGCCACAGTTTACAGTACATGTGGGCACAAGATGAGCTTTAAAAGGCACATGATTGACAGTAACATGGTCTGAAGGACAGCTGCCATCAGAGTTCACACACACACACACACACACACACACACACACACACACACACACACACACTTCAAAATAAAGAACTTTAGTTATTTTGAATCCAAATTGTGTAGCCATACGCCGTATGGAACAGCTACACCATCAACATTATTCACCAGCACCAATTTATGGGCTCCAAATTACCTCGAGCGGTTGTCAGAGTTGAAACACTGCTGCAGAAGACCAATTTCTCAAAGCCTGTAGGAATCAGGTCTGCCTTTCTATTCACTTATTAAAAAGAGGAGAGGAAAGTACACAACCTGCACTGCACACACACACACACACACACAAAAACAATCCTTTGTTGTCTGACCTTGACAATTAATTTGATGCCTGCAAAAACTGCTTTCCCAGCGTGTCTGAAGCATGCTGCCTCTCACTGTGGAGAGATTGGGAGAGCTCTTAGAGTGGGTGATGGGGGGAAGGGGGGGGTGTAACGCTGCTATTGACTCTCGCCCACTCTGCATACCCCCAGTACACACTCTTCACAGAAAACCTCTCACAGGCTCAAGGACACACACACACAGATGCATTCACATTCACCAAATTGAACAGGTCGGACTGATAGCAGCTCTGACGGAGAGGCTGCAGTGTTTATTGGAGAGATAACAGCTTCAGATTAAATCAAGAGCACACAATTGAATCAACGTTTTCCCGCCTTTCTGCGTCTTGCTGCTGAAACAAAATACAAACTGTCCTGCAGACTGTACTCAGAGGGTGTTGTGGTTTAATTTGTATTGAGAAGAGTTGGATGTTATTTAAAATAATTGCATCTGTAGTGTATGTTTATTTAAATGTTACAGGAGGAAAAGTACGAGCAGGAAATGGACGGAGGGATGGATAATTGGATATAAAGAGGGATGGATAGTACAGCCATGTTTCCGTAAACCCCATAAAACATACAATCCAAATATTCCGCCGCTAGCTTGTCCATTATTAGCCAGTGATCTTTACATTACCCATTATTCTTTCACACACAGTGACGTCACGAGCTACCCACAATGCAACGCGCGCCATATATCTATATAGAAATACGCCATTTTCCTGGAGGTGCTAATATCCTGGAGGTGCTAATATAAACAGCTAGGTAATGTAGCCAGGCAGAGCGCACTAGGTTTTTTTTCTGAGTTAACGACCGAAGAAATCGCTGCATGTCTTCGGATTACATCTCTGGACTTGAGGAGTGTGCTTTAGATCGTTACCAGCGTAAACTAGAGCTGTGTGGGTTGTCCGATTGCCCTTACAGACTGCCTGCAGATGTAAGGAAAAACGACTCTCGAAAGTGGCCTTCGGTCGATTTTGGCAGCATCTACGTCTATCTTCTAGAAACACCAGGAGAATACCCCACTTGTCACAATAATATTATCATGCCATTGCATATAGGTATGTGGTATTTTAGAGTTGACTAGATATTGATTAAGGCAATAGACTATGATATTCTGCTTGCACCTCGCGTGCAATGGTGGATACCGGAAGTACGGTGTCGCCCTCGGCCCAAAACCCGTATGTGTGTGTGAAAGAATAGAGTCGATGCTTGTATTTCCTTTTCTCCATACATCTGGACCCAGCTCTCCTCTTTCGTCTCTTCGCTGTGGAGGAAATTCTTAAGAGAAACTGATAAATAATTCATGGACCAAGTTTGTCTGTCTGTTATGTTTAACAAAGTAATAAACATACCCAGCATCCAATCTGTGTCCTTCTCCAGATGTCAGTGGGGATAGCTGTTGTTCCGACCACTATGCTAGCTGTCCTTAGTGCGATTAGCTTCTCCCTAGT